ACCGGAATTATACCGTCTTCCGTAAATTAACATAAATGGATCAAGGCCCCCATCGCATCGCCTGCGAGCCGACGTTCAACTTGCATCCTGGCGCAGCGGGCATCCAAACGGCTGCTAGCGTTGCTACTGTGCCGCGCTATTCGCACCCTTGTTCTAAGAGCGGATATCTCTGCGTCTAATCGATAACGCCTAACCTCTGACCTATTATCGCGGACCGCTAGTAAGTTCTTCACAGATATCGTTGCGCAAGATTCGGCTCGCGGCCGGTTCTCGGAGTTGTTCGATAAATCACCGCCAGGTAACGCACGGTCAAAGACACATCCTCTTGGATCATTCGATGGCTATCTCGGCCGAAGCTACTGGAGCACGGATGAGCAAGTACCTTTTAGGTAGATCGGCCTTTCGAGGACTCGATTATTAACGGCACCTTCCGGTAGAGACCGCCAGAACCTATGGGATACTCTGCGATTTTTCTGCTAGAAGACTTTGGAGTTTTATTAACCAGTTGGTTGTTTTTGATGCTCGTCATGAAGAAACGGCAAAATTGCAATTTAAATTATAATAAAATTGCTATTGTTTAAATTGCAATTCTATTGTACGCTAAAATATATTCGTTAATTTTTTAATGTTTCGTACATTTGGAGGCCAGGACGATATAAAGCGTACAAGTGAAAAGATATAATTATAATCCTGAGAGCTCAAGTTGAATTATTTTAATATCCCGAGAAATAGAACGAGTATTGAATAATTCCAATGTGTTTATTAACCAAGATAGCTGACCGCTGTTTTTAGAATTCTTCGTTTTCCATCGTCGAGAAGGTCGCTACATCGGAAGAAGAAGAAGAGAATCTTTGACTCGGGGAGACAATTATTCTGCCAGGAAAGATATTTTTCTCAAAATTATTGTCCTTACGAGTCAAACATATTTTTCTTCGCACATTTGCTAGCGTTATTAAAAACAACAGAGATGCCCCTGGTAAAAATCTTAGGCGATCCACTCTGGACAAGACCTTGACGTATCGTTTAGTTTGCCGAGGGGAAACGTTTCCAATATTTTCGGAAATCTTCATTCCCGAAGAGTTCGAGAACCCAAGTTCTGTTAGCACGTGAGCAGGACCGGTGCAAACTCGGCGCGGACCAGCCAAGAATGATAGAACTCGACCCCCCAGCCTCGTGGGACTCAGGCATCCCAAGAGAACCAGTAGTCCCAGCGGTTTCAAATGTTTGACGAGATCCGAACAAGCCGAACTTACGAAACCTCTTGCGACCTTCCAGGACTTTCGGTCTTGTATTACACTAGCGAACTTTGCTACCCTATCAATAGTTTAAAGGTCAACCGGATCGAACATTAGAGTGTTATAATGTTTCGGTGAAAGGGGCAGGATCCTGTAATTTTCAGATGATCTGTACCATATATACTATGCTTCTCCAGCGTCGAGTGCCGCCATTCTGGAGCAATCTCTGACGCGAGATACAGAACTTTATTTCATTCTCGAACCAAATTTTATCATCTCGGAGAGTCCCGGGTCTTACGGTTACAAGTTTCATAATATTTCGAACATTCTTCGGCTGCCATTTTCGCGCTGAGAATATGGCGAAGATTCCCTTATACAGTTGGTCTTCGAAAATATTCGGCCACTTTACTTAAGAATGCAGCGAATTTTGCACAGAATGATGATAGGTACACGAATGAAAAAGTAAATTATACTAAATATTACCTTATTTCGTATATGGTAAGCTGATAAGTGTCACATCAAAAGTGTTTATATATAAACCAAATACTTTCGAGATAAATTGCATATCTAATAAAGCTCACTTTCGTGGATTAAATAATATTGCGTAGCGTTGAGCTTTCACTTTTAATACTTGAGTTTATTACACAGCGATGAGGTGGCCAGAGGCGCCAGCCGAGCTCGCCTCTCATTGGTCACTGTTCTTCGTTAATAACTCGTTAACGGTGCCTCGGAGAAGGCACATTTTTGGGACACCCTGTATAATCTGAAGTTCACTGTATTTTCAGCTGCATTCTACAAAAGATTGCATTAACGCTGCGTTAACATTCTCAAGTCGAAATATTAATCCTAGTAATATTAGTAGTAATATTAATAGTAATATTTAGTAGTAATATTAGTATTAATATTAATTACTATTAATTTACTACTAATAAATTTAAATTTTAATATTAATTACTATTAATACTACTACTAATAAATATTAGTAGTAATATTAATAGTAATATTAATGTAATACTAATAAGTATTAGTAGTAATATTAATAGTAATATTAATGTAATACTAATATATTATATTATATAATACTATATGTAATATTAATAGTAATTTTAATATTACTAGTAATATTAATCCTAGTAGTAATCCAAGTAATCCTACTATCTGACGAAGCATTGTGAATAAATATTGCACAAGTGAGTTTCCCTTGGCAAAGAGCACAGCTGTATCAATTTACCGGGAAGAAATTCTTGATCTTACGAAAAATCTGCTGTCGCACATCAAAATCGTACGTTATTAAGGCTCGGCCTGTGCTAGGTTTTTGCAGACTCAGAGAATTGTATCGTTCATAGGACTCGGAACCGCTTGATTGGCCGGCCAAAACCATATCTACTGACCCGTTAAGTCAAACCCAGACGGTCTGCATTTTATGCGTCTAACCTTGCATACATGCGCATTCGTGCTCGAGTACGTTACATAAACTGCCTGCAACAATGCCACCCCTACTTTGTAGCAGCTTCCGGAAAGAAGGGAAGATAAATTAACCTTAACCGTAATGGACAGATCATTTTCTATCATCGACCGGAAAGATATCTAGTCTGCCTAAAATAAAATCAATTCTCTTTTCATTTTATCCAAGCGCGTTCAAATTGAATTCTCTGCGCTCGAAGAATTTTCTTCGATCGATCTAACAAAAACTTGAACGTATTTATTCGCCAAGTAGTAAGTATCACTTTAACCCCTTGAGCTCGTCTCGTTTTATTTTCGAATTCTAGCTAATATCCTAATCTAATTAGGACAGTCGAGAAATGCCACAATTGTTCTTATATACCGTTCTTATATACGTTGGAAACAATTCAACTGTGTTCAAATACAATTTTACAAAGAATTGTGTTGATACAGATTTTATGGAATAAAATTGTTAATTTTGACAGTGACCAAGTACAAAGAGATGAATAAACCAAGCAGAACCCGTTTGTAAGGATATATATCTGAATATACTTTTGGCGATAATTTCATTAAGCTTCCCACTGTTTAAAAAAAGAAAAAAGTAGAATAAAATAGTAGGACATTAGATATCATTTTTAGAATTTATCGAAAGCCGCGCGAGGCAGACGCGTGGATTTTACATTCGAGCACAATAGATTTTCTCCGTGGATGTTTGGTTAAACCATACAGCGAAATCTTTCCCATTGTTTCAACGTGCATTGCCAGCGAGCCATTCATTGTTTTACAAAACACGGTATTAAAAATATTTATAGGGATATTTGGCAGCCGGGACAAAGCAATAATAATTATCTTTATGCGAGCTGCGTATATATATATGGACTGTTGATAAAAGTTATGCCGGAGTTCCGTTGTTAAAATCTGCTCGGCTGTTTTGTCGTTTTATCCGGGACAACTGTTCCCCGTGAACAATGGGGGTGTAAAAGGTGAACGAATCGGGAGTGCAATTCAATTTTATTTACCTCGAGATTTTTGAGAACTCCAATGGTCCGTTAATATCGCCGCCGAATGAAATGTATCCGCGGATTATGTTTCAATAACAAACGCCAATTATGTTTCAATAACAAACTGTTTGTAGATCGGCTCGAAAATGAAATTATCTCGAACCTTTTCGCGTCATTGATCGTTTAAAAGCGTTAGCCGCTTGTTCGCGTCCGAAGCATATTTTTCGTTTACCCGAGGCATGTGTTTCGTTTACCCGAGGCAACCTAGGCTAGCCCCTGTGAATTAGGTACACGTTTGCCGAACGCGCGATCCTATTCACCTAAAACGTGTACCGTCGACCAAACGTATTTTTTATTAACGTATAAAAACTATGAACCCCATGGAAGAAACTCGGAATCCCTCTAACATCGTGAAACGGAAGTTACTCTGTAAAATGTACTTCATGCAAATGCCATCGTTGCCATGTTTTCTTTTTCAGCTTCATTGTAATTCCATACCTGTCTACCTTCTCCTATCATCTAAAAAAAAAAATTGAGTCATTTAGTTCAGTTTTAAAGAAGCTATTGCTTTTTAAAAGGTGTTCGAATATTTTCGTGAGCTACTGTATACAGGGTGTCCCAAAAATGTCTCGCAATCCTGAAATAGCGGGTTCCTCGGATCATTTGAAGCAGCTTCTTCCTTTACAAAAATGTTCTCCGAGGCACCGTTGACGAGTTATTAACGAAAAACAGTGACCAATGAGGATCGAGTACGGCTGACGCGAGGCGGCCCAGCCAACCAGCGCACGAAGCCCAGTTCCGCTCATTGGTTCGGTCGCCTCGCGCCAGCCGAGCTCGCCTCTCATTGGTCACTGTTTTTCGTTGATAAATCGTTAACGGTGCCTCGGAGAAAATTTTTGTAAAGGAAAAAGTTGCTTCGAATGACCCGAGGAACCCGCCACTTTCGGATTGCGAGACGTTTTTGGGACACCCTGTATAACTCATGTGGCAAACAACACGTGAAACAAGCAGATTCGTACTCCCTATTATTTCTTGCGAAATCCGCAGAGAGATCGGAACAATTGTCCCCTTGCCGAAGAGCAAATTCCTTCGACAGTGTCCCGGTGTCTCCTTATCGCTATTTAAACCGCACATTATCTAAAATTCAACTTTCCCCGAGCAAAGCGCGATAGGTGAAATGGTTACTTTTCAGAAAACTTTCCTATTCGAGACTCTCTCTCTCTCTGTGTGTGTGCGTAGCTCGTACCTTTAGTTTCATACCTCCCGAACTTTTTTACTGCCAGGCAACTTTCACAGAAATCGTTATCCTTTTATATTGCAGAACCGGCGGAGGCAATATGCTGGGTGACGTCAACATCTCCGCGATATTGGACTCGTTCTCCGTCAGTTACGATAAAAGAGTAAGGCCGAACTACGGAGGTGAGTAGGGTTGCGATTTTTCCTGGCTATCGTATAGTCCGAATCATTCGACTATCCTGTGGTAGCGTCGATATCGCGCACAAAACCACGATCCTTCGACGACTCGCGCGACTATCGTCACCGCGTTACTAATCGTTTCAACGAAAACAGAAACTTCGGCAATTATAAAGAATAAGGTCCACTTTATTGATGTAATCTTAACGTGAACGCTATGGGTGACTTCGCATAGCATACAGCTTCAGTTTCAACTGCTGTACGCGAGAGTATTTTTACTATCATGTGTTCTGCTTACAAGTTCGTTTTAAATAATTATTGTTACTTATTACCGTATTATTGTCGAGTTTTCTAGATTTTTATTGTCACGTATTATACATTCTTTGTTGGTTAAACTTCGATTCGGTTTCAGCAACATAAAGTATGCTACGTTTTATCATGCTTTAGAGTCTGAATTAAATTGCGTTCCGTTTCAGTTACTTTCGATTTAAAAAGTAAACACAGTAGTAATTTCATCACCACAGCTTGTACCGCTCCAACGTCTGAATTAGATTTGATTCGGCAGAGATTTGCTTTTAAGTTCGACAGTTTCCCAGAGTGCACAGTTGCTACAATTAACATATTAATCTCGAATTCATTTGTCCCTTATATTTTGCACAAATTACTTTCCATTCGATCGAAAACTGAGTACTTGTAATTGTTGAGCATGCAGAATTGTCATGTAATCGATGGTACAATCGGCAAGGATATGTAAAATAAATCGAGAGAAAAGAACAACATATTTTCATTTAAGGTTTCGTTCTCGAGAAAACCGAGTTGAAGCATGCGCCATTTGATTGCTATTCAATACTATTATTTTTCCAACCTAATTTTTCTCGAAAATGGAGCCTTAAATGACAAAGAAACGTTATTCTTCTTTTCGAATTATTTTTGCAAATAGAATCATCCCCTCGCCGGTTGTACCGCCAATTATACGACACGCTGTGCAAACGTTGTAATTATTGAATGTACGAATAAAATTATACATTCTTACTTTATTTCTGTTGATTAATGCTTTGTATCGCGATGTACGAAGTAATAAAACAAATAGGCGAATTTAAAAGTATTCGTGTTATGCGGGCAGCAAATAATCGCGAAATTCACAGAGACTGTGCACTTACGGTGTGTAGGTTCGCGAATAACAATAATGGAGCCGTGGAACACCCTGAAATGACACAACGCATGGTATTCAAAATATATTTGCGCACACGTTTGAATCGGAATCTGACAATGAGCGGCGTTAATAAATAAATGCTTTATCTAAAAACGGGTCACCTAATTGTCTTATTTAGCTGTGATGGTGTTTTAAGGTCATCCATGGTGTTTTAAGTAAAAACATATAATTTCTCTGTTGCATCTGATAACTAACATCGTTGTGCACTCATTCATGTACAATATAGCATGACATTCAAATTAGATTCTAAAATTTTTTAATCATTCGGAAATATAATTTGTTACTTTAATCTTTAGACTATATATAGTTTCCTTCTTAACGTGATTTCAGGTTTCAGAAATATTTTCTGTAGTAGCTAGAGAACATTATTTCTGAAAAGATGACGATGCCTTTATATTTAGATGCCAAAGAATGTAAAACAGACTGTATAGTTTCCGATCGATTTACGTTCTCGGCCGAACAATTCGCAGAGGAGTCGTCATTTTTTCCAAAATCTGCCGAACTCTAATTATCGAATCGATCAACGTTTACGAAATGTACGTTGACTTTGGCATCAAGATCGTTGAGATCGATGAGGCGAACCCTATTCCATATAATTACCGACCCACAACTGCTGCGCGCGTTCGCGTATGTGCACAGATGGATCGGTCAAGGTTTTGCAAACGATATTCGATCACTTTCGCATATACCTGCTTTCTCGACGCATTTCTGATAATCGTTGCACGGACTGGGCATACCGGGAGTCCTTTTCGTAGCGAATGCAGCATCGCCTCGAGAATCGCTCGCACAAAAAACGAATCGTTTCTTTCTTGAACGGAGTCGTATAGAAATCAGAGCTTCGGTGCATACGAATTCGGGAGATCGACTTTGAACGCTGCAAATATCGGCAGACCAATTTCCAAACGTGTGCTTACGATCCGAACGGAAGCAAGTTCGAGGAACGCTAGACAAGACGCGGCCTACCAGTGCTGTAACGTGGATCGCGACGATAGAACGGAGAGAGATCGATCGAGGCTCGACTGGCGGCGTGAAATGGGATAGATTTTAACGGAATAATGTCCCGCGCGAGCGTAAGAGAGAACGCCCGTGGAAAAATCGGCGGTGTAACGAACGGAAAACGGTCCGGAAACGTTGATCGAGATACGACAAAGGGACAAAAGCGGGACGACAATGTAGAGGAGGTGGTACGCTCCGGGAAATATTTTTGACGCCGCTTACTCTTTCGCCGCGGACGATACAGAAAAGAATATTCGGGAACAATAGGGAGCAAGCTCGTGGGCGTGTACTTTGCCGTCGTAAAAATTCTCAGCCGGAGCCGGACACGGAATGAAAAGTCGCGTCATTTTTCGATTTGCCGGTGGACGGAGTTACCCGCCGGGCCGCGGCCGATGACGTTTACAACCGTGAAAGAAAAACAATCCGGATGAAATTTTCCCGGCCGCAACGTCACAGAAAGAAATTCAATTTGAACAGCGTATTCGCGAAATTCGCGAATATAACCTTTCGCGCGCCATTGTTGACACCCGATGGAACGATGGCACTTTTGTCGGGAACTGTTCGAATGAAATCGGCCGACGTGCCGTCGTCGTGATTAAAAGTTTTTACAGACGCGGGTTTCGATGAATTATCTTCGAGTTACGATGAATTCGTAGGAACGATTTTTAACTTTCGTCGCGTCAAAATGTACATTATTCTGCGGCAATCGATGATCAAATTGGAACTACTATCGTCAATGGTATCAGCAAGTTTTAGTTAAATACGAGCTGCGATACTGGATAATGATAATATAGCAGTGCTGTATTCGGTCGAGCACAGGCATTTCACTCCGGATTAAGTGTAATAGAGTTGCGCTCACTTTCCTGATACATCGAATTGACTGACTGCGAATATCTAGAATAACAAGTTTAACAGGCGAAATGTTAATTGCAGAGAAATCAGTGTTTTGGTAGGTAAAATATTGTTTCGTCTTAATTTTTGGACGTCTTTGGCGTGTTACTTTTTTATAATTCTTTTCATAATTCGAAACCGATAACAAATCGATACGTTACATTACGTATTGGACGCTATCTTACCATGTACTTGCAGGAATATGACGTGTGCGAAAGTATTATAAGTCACCATCTTTTTCAAATAGAAAATTCTACGAGAAAGTGTACCCAAAACTTCCTCAATTCGTTTACAAACGCGTTAATAGATATTCAACGCTTTAACGCTTTCATTCAATGAAACGAACAAAAATATCTGAATGCAATTTTGTTTCCGAAGGAATTAACGCTAACTAAGAACTAAAACGAGTATTTCGTAAGAAAACGACTCAAATCCACCGCAACTCCCCTTTAAACTCCTAACCAAATAGGATCAGAACGTTCTGAATAATATGCACATTAACTATGGATCACGAACGGGCAATAATCGTGCATACATTGCGCATATTTTCGTGTACTTGTCCCGTTTTTCTGATCGTTCCAGTATCTTCCTTGGACGGTGGTCGGTCCACTTCTCCTTCTTACACCGTGGTTTCAACCCACCGAAAATCCCAGCAGTTCACGAGAGAAGATTCGTCGGCAGCTTGAAAGATGAAACAAGGTCGTCGAAAGTAACGTCGAGTATTTCGAGGACCGAAAAACGTGCGCGTGTTTTCCGTAAATAAAGGGAAAACGTGTTTTAAAGCGGCACCAAATGTATTTTTGTGCTGCTTGCGAAACGGTCTCCCAGAGTTCGGCTCTTTACCGATTCATTCGGCGGCTAATGTTAGCGAGCTGGCTTATAGCAAAATTCGGGCAAACAGTTTAATAAAAATCTTGCCCCGGCTGCGTCGTCGTCAGAATAAACAGACCACCACGAAGAAAGACGCGCGAGTTATCCGTGTTTGTCGATACCGGTCCTTTCGTGGGAAAGTTGGTCTATCGACTAGCTATCGACAAGGCCAGGGGACGCCAGCTGACATCGAAGAATCCGATAGCCGGAATTTGTTTACGGATACAGCTGGGACTCGAGCTGGTACGGCTCGAGTGTCATAAAGATTGAATCGATGGTTTTCAATTCCCACGATAAAGTCAAATTTTCGGCTAGGTCCCGGCGGTAGCAGGGCGGGGCTGGGGCGCTTCGATAAAACTTGGATCGATGCTGGGACGCGGCACGGGTTGCCACGGGTTACCGTTAACGGCATCTCTGCTCCGGCCACGCTCCCCCACAGTTCTTTACCTTCGATTACAATTTCAACATTGATTCTGTCAGCCGAGCGTCTCCGCTGTCACCGATCCCGCTGCGGGGCGTTCTCGGATTCTCGCTTGTCTCCGACGTCGATCGTCCGCGAGACACCCGAACGCCGTTGCATTCTTCCGCGAGATCACCGGATGCTCCCTTCCCGTCGAATCGCGGGACTCTCGCCACCAGACTCGGGATTGAACCGTAAAGATCCGACGCAAGGTCTTTGAACAGTGTTAGAAATCAAGTCACGGTAGTGGTATTCTTTTTTTGGACGCGTCGAACAATAGTAATTTCTGTCTAACAATTGGCCAAACTATTACGTTTATACAGGGTATTCCGAAAATGAGAGGTTCCTGAGGTCATTCGAAGCAACTTTTTCCTTTGCGAAAATTTTCTCCGAGGCTGCATTTACGCGCGCGAGTTATTAACGAAAAACACTATGACCAATAAGAGGCGAGCTCGGCTGGCGCGCGGCGGCCCAGCCAACGAGTGCACGGAGCCCAGTTCCGCTCATTGGCTCGGCCGTCTCGCGCCAAATGATCTCGCTTCTGATTGGTCACTGTTTTTCGTTAATAACTCGTAA